CCCCCCCCGGGCTTCTTTTTTGTCCAATTTCATCCCCACCCCCATTCCAAAAGCCGACCTTTTTTCACTGACAGGAGTTAGACACCCTGGTCGAGAAGCATGCAGCTCCTCGACTCACAGAGCAAGAGAAAGAACGTCTACGCATACTCGAGAGCAAAGTGCGCATGTTTCTCGCGCATACACAACTGACGAGCAGACCGGAAGGAATGGTGCATCTGCCTCAGAGAGAGGATGTTATGACAGTGGACATCTCCCACCTATGAATAATTATACTATTATCTTTTTGCTGCGTACATGGTTTTAATTTACTTTTTCCAATTATAGATGTTTTAAGCCCTCATCAACACAATTTAGATCAAATATGAGACGAGCTTCAACCCTGCTGTAAATCCAGCTTACACGAAAACTTTAAAAAAAAGTTTTTACAGAATAGCTAGGTCTACTTTATTTTACAGTAAAACTGTGGCCGAAGAAAAGGATTGAAGGAATTTTGAATTTTGTATTGATTTCACTCTTCGTGTGTTAAATAGATGTAACGGTTACTCCTTCGTTTCACTATCGTATACTGTTGTCATTTGTGGCTGTGAAGGATAATTTGTAGAATGATAATAACTTAAACTGAAAGAAAACCAACTTTAGGGACACACGTTACATTAGAGTTTGAGTAATGACGATTTCACATGCAAGGGCAGCTGTGCATCTTTGGTTGATATAATAGTCTGTTTTGTGTGTTATGTACTCAGCAAATATGCTCTAGAATCATATTATCAAATGTTACGGGTTTAAAATCACAAATAACAGTTCGATTTAACTTCCATACTCCATATGTGAGATGTGCTGACAAAATGAGTTACTTCTCACGATCCAAGAATGGAGATATCGGCTGAAAATCGACACTGGATTCCGATTTATAGATTTTCAATTGATACCATTTTGTTCAAGTTTACTGTGTCTTTTACTATTCCATGCTCACAAATTGTACAAACTCCACCTATAAAGTTGATGTATCAATTTCCATAATGCTAAAATCCGAGAAGTAACTCATTTTGTCAGCTAACCTCACATATATCCAAGGCAAGCCGTGCAGATTTGCACCAGGGCGATCTACACTGGAGTCAAGTACGCTCCCAAAATGAAAGCGCGCGCTTCTGGAAGTTTGGCTGGCAGGTGATGATTATAGTGCGGTCAAAACTTCGATGCCACTTATTGTCAAATAGTTCCTCAACTATCGAACATCATCTCTCCAACCTTTGCACAAGGACTTGTATCAGTTTGTCTTAACAAATCAATATTTTTGTAAACACCTACTAGCTGATTTTTAGAAATTCCTTAATTAATAAATACTAACAAAAAATCAAGCGGGAGGTTTGTACAGATTTTAAAAGATTTACATCGCTGTTAAAAGTAAGTCCATCATTTTTACCTAATCGTGACACTATCTTTATCAAAAGCATGTTTTGAGAACCTTTCGTGCAAAAAATGTGTTCACGTCGTGTAGAAGGAATTTCTTGTAACAAGCTATGCCATTGAAAAGTGTCATTGGTGAGCTGTGACGTACACCATATTCGTATGCAAAATGTGTGTGAAAAGTGGGAATTGCTGAGAGCAATCCTCTTTACATCATATCGGAGATTTATAGTATTTTACATAGATTATGAAGAAACTTTTCTTTTTTAAAAATCCAGACTCAATTGTTATAGAAAAATGTTGATACAAACAGCTGTGAAAAGTATGGGTGATATTGATTCACCCGTTAAAGAGATACTTAAGGATAAGTTGCGCCCCGGCATTGTGATCGCACTATAAGACGTTTGACTGACTGATGATGATTAGTTCTACTTCCAATAGTGCAGGAAATGTACACAACAAGATAACACATCGTAAATAATTCCGGAAATGGATAAGTCAATGTTGCATGTGTGTAAACACGAACGCTGCTTTACCTATTTATGTATGTGCACGCACAAACACCAGGAGACGTCAAGGCGACAACAGTGGCTGCTTATTGGGTAAAGACGTCTGAATTTTAAAAAACAAACAATTTGTAATGCTGATGTTTTACGCTGCAAACGATACCAAGCGCTTGACAGCAACACCATGGGTGCTGGGGCGTCTTAGTTGTATTTGGTCAGTGCTTGATTTGCCAAATATCATCCATAAAGATTTTGTGAAATGCTCATTCAGAATAGAACGCTTGTCCTACTAAAATAATTATATTAACGTAAAGTCAATATATTGGACGCAACAAATTTGCTTGACAGTGCTCCTTGTCATCTACTTTTCTTATTTCGTTATTTATTTCACTTACCTTTCTGAGTGAGCTATGACCCACAAGTGACACACATTACACTTGTAAGTGGGTCAGGCAGAGAGTTTCAATGCCTGTAGTCATAAAAGATCATTACTGTCTCCGCCAGGAACACCTGATCACGCCAGCTAAAGCTGAGTTTCCAAGTTAGGTGTTTTACCCTTACTCCACTTTTTCTTCTTCTCGGGAAACCAGCTTTCAGTGTTTAAGTAGCGATTACTGTTTTCTTTCCTTTTTCATATCCTGTCTTGTTGGAAATGGTTGTGAATAAATGTCATTATTATTAAGTTAGCAGGCGTGTGGTTCAATTCTCACCGGGTCGTTATATTTGATATTTAATATACGTGATCCACACAGCAAAACTAGTTATATACTCATATGTTGGGAGCGCGGATGAAGAGTTTCAAAATGATGAATACTGATGGTCTTTCGGTAAAGAGTGTAAGAACAAACTTTTTCTAATTATTCTGTACCAAGCTAATGGTTGTGCAACATGAGTCAGTGGTATTAATGTCAACCTGTTGTGCATCTTTGTAGCTTTTGTCATTGGGAAATTCTTTCTTTTGAGACAATATTTTTGTTGTCCCCAACACTTGTGGTGAAACAGTTAATTTATTTGACTTTATGAGTTTGATGCCCATTTGGAGATGATATTATAATGTCAATATCCGTCTCTTTGACGGTATATACCCTTCAAATATTTGACCATAATTACCCGGGTCGTGGCAACACATTTTGTAACCGCCTAAACTGTGTACCAAAACATTTCAACAAACATCTGTACGTACACTGCGTATGGGGTATAAACGTCTTTTTTAAAACACCATTACGCTATTTGAGAGGTGAGACATCCGAATTTAACATCCATATCCGATATAACCAAACCAAATGGGTTGAGAAGCATTTCATAAAAAGAAATGAGTTCAATAAGAACATCGAGTCGGGGATTCGAACCATAGCTGTCAGCTCCGAAGTCCAGTATGATATCAACTCAACTAAATAACTCATCTTTGGGGGCCATTTTCTCATTAATTTCACCTCTGAAACCAGTTGACCAGTGCCTCCTTCATTAGCAGATATCTCGACTTCTATTCAAGATATATGGATTTTTTCCCCATCAAAAGCAAGGCAAATGAACAAGCTTTAAGATTATACCAATAACTCTCAATACCCCAAAACTGACGAGAGCTTGATTCCACTGTGTCGTGAAACATCTTTAACTGTCACTTATGTTATGGGGGCAGAGGGTCTTTTAAAAGGTCTACTCCAGCTTTCCGTTTGGAACTTTCTTGTCCTACTACGCACATTCATGGTCTCAACTCTCGATGGGGAAAATATAGGGGGGTATTCGTGACATAACGCGAGAAGCATGATTCATGATTTTAATTTATTTCGTCAAAATGGCTGGAAGTGGTGGTGGTGGGGGGGAAGCAGACCTTTACAAGTCGTGGTGGGGTGAAGCAGACCTTTACAAGTCGTGGAATAGGTTTTAAACTTTTCATTTGACTCTTTTGCTCTTTCTGTTCTTCGGTCTTGAATTCATGATCGGTCTCAAAACACTACGAGCTCAGCAGGAGGTTAGTAAGTGCAGAGGTGAAGGTCCACTGTTTCATCACTATCAATAACAACTAGAACAACTCTAATAGCTTCAATAGCAATAGAAGCAGCAGTAGCAGCAGCAGCAGCAGCAGCAGCAACAACAACAACAACAACAACAACAACAACGATAACACCATCGACAGAAACAAGGACAAAAATAACAACAATAAGAAAAACAGCACCAAAACACCTTAATCCTGACCACAATAACACAACATTCTAATAAGTTTCACCTTGTGGGTCCATTTCGGTGTTCCCAAAAGGTCCAGCTCTGCCATAAATCTCATGCAGGACAATGGCAAACGCGTACACGTCACCAGACTGGCTACCTTTGATCTTGCCGCCACTTCGCAGGATTTCCGGTGCTTTCCAAAGCAAATCTGGAATGAGTAATGCCACATTTAATTCATCTGCAAATGGTGTTTAACGCCATGTGTAAGTACCGTTAGGTCATTTAAGAAGCAGGACTTCAGAATCGAACGTCCATCTCAGATAAAATGGAGCCATGAAAGGGGCAGTGTGTTTAAATTCTCAAACAATCCAGTTGTGATCTTCAAAATCCAGCAAGGGAAAGAGTTATCCCCGAGTCATTTTGTTAACTTTGATACGCTGGTTCCGAATTTGATGTTATTTTTACGTTAAGACTTAGGTTTAAATATGTTTACAAAGAAAGATTTTATCTCCAGCTGACCGCAGACAGTCCCAAGGCTGGACATACAACAATTAAGCTTGGCCGGATTTTTGTTGCGGCTATCGGTCGGACAGTCTGTTATGTCTGCAGCCCGCTGGTGACAAAATTTTAATTCTAGTTTGTGGGCGTGCCGGTGTCATCGTGGTCATTGCATTATTGTAGAAGATAATAAAACAGTGAAATATTGGGTATTGGTTCAATACATTTTTGTTAGTTTTAACAGATCATAATAAGTAGGCGATTTTCATTTTCCAGCTGCTGTGAAGTGTGGTGGCAGGTATTATCATGATATAGTAAGTCCCTTGAATTATACTGACTTCGGTAATAAGCATAGTGGTCCTCTTTGTTGTAGCTTGAGTTACGAATGTCAAGGAGGCTGTTGTCAGCGACCTGGAGTGTCCAGCGACTGGTCACCACGCAGTTGGAGCTCTTCAAGTTTCCATGGTAGACTAGGTCACTGTGGTGGATGTACATCATGCCCTGTTTGAACATAGAGACGCAGATTGGACAAGGTAGATTGGGGGGAGAGGGTGGGGTGGGGCCAGGTATGTAAGATTGTTTGAAGATTAAGACGGGCCTAGGGGGGTCTGATTTTTAAAGAATTCTGGAATCTTTAAAGCGGAGTGTGTTATGGAGTTGTGACAACGTACAATTATTATAATTGGCCGTATCGTCATAAACCTACACATCAGAAAATATTTTTAAAAAAAATTAATACTTATTTTCATTATTTATTGATGAAATAAAAAGATTTAAACGCAACAGAATATGAGTGACACATATCGTTCTAAGGTAAATGCAAAATGTACATTTAAAAGCAAACAGTAACTCCTGAATCAATGCTAATGTGTCATGTTCTCAGAATGGAATCTCATGTTTGTCATGACACGGTGGAGTAAGGTGCTCGCCAATTATTGTGCTTATGAAGATATTGTTATAAATTAAAAAGCCTGTATATTTGCCTTACTTTTATTTAAAATATACTCATCTATCTTGAGTAGAAGTAGAGATATTTGCAATTGAAAGAGGTGGGGGTCACCTGGTGTCAAAGGTAAAGTCACTGAGAAAATGGCCATCACAATTTTGTGACTTTCAAAGGAGTAGTTTCTTTCAAAACTGCACATTTTCACTTTTGTGCCTTTGATGGACGTTTTTAGGTAAAAACCCACACAGAATTGTGTTTGTAACGAGCAAAAAAAAGTGTGAGCACAAAACGAAAAACAAATTTAGTTTTTTAAATGCTGAACAGATGGGAAAATGTGTGTTTTGTGAAATTCTTTACTTTGACTAACGCCTGATTTCACCACGCGCATTCTTCAATCTATACTCGGTATGTCAACCTACACAATAGGTAGGCTACAGATGTACTCGATTTAACAAAGCACTTGGAAAGACATTTTATGGCAATAAAACAACATATATATTTTTTTGGCACTGTATGCTTCCCAGACAGTCAAGCACGTTTCTCTATCGTGTGCTAGGGTCTGCTGGGGTAATGGTAATTATTATAGAGCGCATGGAGCATGTGGTAAAACGTGCTTATGTGTTATATAAATGCAGTTTTTCTACTAATTGCTATTATTATACTTTACGATTTTAATTTTCATTTCAAAGTATTGCAAGGGTTTTGTGGTATTACGGAGGATATGTTCTTACCCTAACAGAAAATGTCAATACAATATTATTATTTATTAGTTTTGCAATAATATATAACGCAAGGCTTTCAGCATGGGAAAACAACTTCAAAGAAACACATTTCAGATACAATACAATGATGGCTCACATACAAACGCACTAAACGTGTAAATCAATGACAATAGAAATGAGATGGCCTTGTTGGGAATCCCGTCGTCATTTAGCACATGTCGTTTTCTCTTGAGGAAATAAAGTTCTGAAGGAGGGGTGGTGATAAATTCTCAAGAAAAAGAAGGCAGGAGCAAGCTCCGTTAAAGTGTCATTTCAGCCAAAGATCTCACTATTATTTGGAGCGCTGTCTCGTTCCCATAAAACCTGACCCGGATTTACTATTGACGCATTACGAGACTGTCAGCAAAGCGTAGCCATAGTTACGCCTTTGTTGAGAACTTTGTCAAGACGTCTTTTACAACAAACTCAGCCAATTCAAGAACAATCGATCTGTGTTATGAGAAAACGTAAATGAGAAAAATGTGCTCGTGGGAAGAGCTCTTACAGAACTTGCACGAAGTTCACCTCGAAGAGTAGCTTTGAACCGACTCGGTCTTCAACCTTCATTTTCCAGCTCCTATGAATTATTCATCAAATATTCTGGGTCTGTTTACTCTGGTTTACGATCAGAAGGAAAGTTAGGTCGGCGACAAGGAAAATATTATTGACGTGAACCGAGAATCCGGTTTCGGGATTATGATGTTCTAAAATTTCCCAAAAGGCTTTTGAGACACAAAGAGAATTATTTACCCGACTGCCTTAGTAACTGATATGTTGCAAGTGCAAACATTCTGAATTAGTTCCCACAACTCTGAATGTCAGCCTGATCTCATGCCGTTATTATGTTCTTTCGGGGATAAAATTCTAACCACTTTTTAAAATAAGAAAATCTTCACGATGTGGAATCAAGTGCTCGTCATGTTTTGTTTTGTTTTGGCATTGTGGAGTTATTGGTATCACGTTACATGTACGTTTGTCTTTCTTTTGATTTAATATAAGATATCCATCTATCTTGAAAAGTAGACGAGATATTTGCGATTACAGAAGGCCGGGATCGCCTAGTATATCAGATCAGAGGTAAAACAAGCGAGAAAACGGCCTCCATAGTTTGGTGACTTCAAAACTTGAGTGTTTTTGGAAACTGTAAGTACAATGTTTTTTCTTCTGGGTGCCATTTACTTTTTTTCAGTGAGATCCCCCACCGAAATGTGTTTTTGAAATGACATAAAAAGTGTTGAGCATCAAAAAAAAAGAAAATAAAAAACGAAAATTGCTCAACGGACGGAAAAATTACGGTTTCTTCGATTTCATTCTTTTGACGAGCGCCTGATTTCACCACGATGCCACTCTTTAGTCGACGTGGAAGCTATTACAGCACTTGAGACACTTTTCTCTATTCAACAACAGTGGCTTTCACTCGTGGCATTGAGATGTAGTTTAGTAGCACCAGCATAAACACCGGAATTCTCAGCCGTGTGTATACTGAAATAAGAGCACTGTTTATTCTTCTTCTTTGTACTACTTTAAGCAAGAACAATCCACTGTCGAATTGCTTGCACCTGTCATTGTTTCACCAGAGCCCCGTTGGCCTGCCAGTTTCAGGCGAGTGACCCCGGTTGACCTTCACGGCAAGCGGAGGGCGTGAGTGACAAAGTCACACGATACTTCACTCAACTCAGCAGTTCCCTACTTTTTACTGTTTTCATATCCCTTGACGTTGACTCAAGAGAGGGGAGGTAGGGGGTAGACTTTGTAACAGCGTTACTAAACACAAACATATCTAGTAGAAGAAGCAAACCGTACCGGAGCGGACAACAAGCCAACTAGCCAACTCACATAATATTATAAGTCAAACAGACATTCTTCCTCGGTTAATCTAAAAAAAGTATCAACAAATCAATCAATCAGTTAACCAATAAATTAATCAATCAACAAAGTAAAACCCTAAGTAAAAAAATAAATAGATGAAACAGCAAGAACAGTACCACAATCAAAAACACAACACAGCGGCCAAGGTAACGACACAAAACAACAAAGACGGCATCCCTATTTGGCCACGTCAGAAACAGGGACACTGCAATATTTTCAATTCTAAAATACCACATAAATGTAAATGCATATTTTATATCTATTAAGGTGTATAAGCGTGGTAAATGTATCCACACACACACACACACACACACACACACACACACACACACACACACACACACACACACACACACACACACACACACACACACATTATATATATATATATATATATATATATATATATATATATATATATATATATATATATGTGTATATTTGTATATATACATATAAATATACACATACATACACACAGGCGCGCGCGCGCGAAAAATAAAGCAGGGAGCAAATGAAACAAACGGATTTAAGTCATTCAAACTGTAGCTAATAGGAAGAAAGTTCAAATGTAAGTAAAAATACTGAAAGTCTAAATTCGAGAGAGAGAGAGCGAGAGAGAGAGAGAGAGAGAGAGAGAGAGAGAGAGAGAGAGAGAGAGAGAGAGAGAGAGAGAGAGAGAGAGAGAGAGAGAGAGAGAGAGGGGGGGGGGAGAGGGGGGGTGCTAAGACCAAACGGTAAACTTAGAAGAAGAAGAAGAAAGAAGAAGAAGAAGAAGACTGCATGAAGTTCGTTTGTTAATTTCCAAACCCAAAATAAAGTGAGTCTAAGAATGATAATTTAAGAAAAAAGAAGAGAAAGAACATTTCTGTCATACCTGTATGAGGTCTTTGATAAGCGAAGCGATGAACATCTGATCTAGCTTGATGTCGTCATTTTCCAAGACGTCCTGCGTAAACAAAGAAGACAAGTCTGTGTGAGTTAAGCTACAGAGTCAGGAGCATAGACCTGAATCATAATATCCCAGACCGTGAGGTGTCATAGCCGCTGTTCTTTTCTCTATGTAAAAAAACTCGTCACTCATGCTGTTGTGGAAGGCGCGCTCATCGCCGCCCCTCCCCCTTTTTTGGGTTGCCCTTCATTTGGCTCCTAATTGCATCTAATTGCATGCTTCATGGTGAACGTGCTTCATGGTGAACCGGAGTTACGTTTGAGTGCATTGTCTAAAATATGATACAAGTCTTTGGTTTGGAATATGTTCTGTTCAAGTGGTGTTTTTCGACTTTGCATGGAAAACATATAGAGTAAAATATGTAACAACAACAAACACATAAGCAAACAAACAAACAAACAAACAAACAAACAAACGAACAAACAAACGAACCAAGGGCAAATATCAAATTTCCAGATTCCCTTCGGGACATGAGTTCTACAATCAGATGATCATGATGAGATGGATTCTTTAAATAGCGCATAGCCCAACTCAAAACCCAAACACACTGGGCATTACAATTAATTATTCCCGCGATGTACCCTGTGATATTTCAACTCGTTCTCAGTTTTACAAGAATTCGTGCAACCTGTCAATATACAGACTCACAAATACTATCATACTCACAAGATCTTACATTGTCTTGGTAGGGTACCCATTCATGTATGAATACAGTGATGAAAATTTAACAAATATTCTTTCCCGAGAACACACCACCGAGCACCCCCCCCCCCCCATTCCCACCCTGGGCCACTTCACTAGGATCCAAACCCCGCAATCTCACACAGTTGCAAGCTCGGCTGCCCAACTACTGAAATACAGACATCACAAATAAGGCAGTCCATAGATGATGTCACAACATAGACTTGTATTATAATAACCAAGACTGAGCATTCTGACGTGATTCCTGTTCATCAAGAAGGCATACCTTTTAACTCTATTTGAACCCAAAAGAAGTGCAATGAGGGAAAGGTTGCACCCGTACACGTTTATAGCGAGACTGGTGTTTTGCCTTTTATTTGCGTGAATCATGGTGTGCACCAGGGCGTCGAAGTTTAGTAGGTCGCATAGAATGGTGGAATTGACAGTTCCCGGTGTATGATATTATTATTACAATCCAAGCCCGTGTGACATAATAACAATTTCAACACAGCATCAGGCGATTAATAATCGTCCCGGTCTTACGTCCTTCCTCTAGGAAATGGCCAATGCGTCTCTCTCAAGGACAATCACCTGACCCTCCCCTCCCCCTTTTTTTTCCAAACCACCCCGACACACCTAGTTCTCCTCGTTGGTACACAAGGAGCAAAAAAACAAACAAACAAAAAACATAAGGGTAAATTGGAAAATGAAATGAGGATGGCCAAACTGAATGACGTGGAGTAGGATGTTGAAGATGGTAGCAACCAAGATATTGCTCATTATGATTGTTTCAAATATTGTCAGGATTTTTTTTTCTGCTTCTTGGAAGTATAGAAGAGCGAACTTGTGTACTCGGGTTAAACTACGTTTCATTGACGTTGACCGTGGAAATTTGCAGTTCAATTTGGAGTTACGACAAATATGCACCACCTAAACACCTACAGATACTTAAAATGTAAGGGCATTTTTCTTTTTGTAATCGCTGTCGACATTATTATTGTTGTTGTTATTCTTGTAGCTGTTGTTGTTGTTGTTATTGCTGTTGTTGTTGTTGTTGTTGTTGTTGTTGTTGTTGTTGTTGTTCTTCTTCTTCTTCTTCTTCTTCTTCTTCTTCTTCTTCTTCTTCTTCTTCTTTTCTTAACACAACCTTTCGCTGTGTCTCAATAATCTAATTTCGAGGCTGTTTCATATTTCAAGATCGTGAGGGAAAGCATAGGTCCCTGCGATAGATCTTGTGTGTGGGGAGTGTAAAAAAGAGGTAGAGAGAGAGAAAGACAGACAGACAGACAGAGAGAGAGAGAGAGAGAGAGACAAAGACAGAGACAGAGAGAGAGAAAAAGAGACAGAGTGAGAGATAGCAAGAGAGAGAGAGGGGGCTAGAGAGAGAGAGAGAGAGAGAGAGAGAGAGAGAGAGAGAGAGAGAGAGAGAGAGAGAGAGAGAGAGCGAGAGAGAGTAAGAGGGGAGAAAGAGATCAGAAGAGAAAGGGGTGGAGATAGAAAGTGTGGTACAATAAATGTGTGCGTGTGACAGTGTGAACCTCAGTGTGGCTGTGAGTGTGAGTATTGTTTTGATCGTTTATGTGTGCTTTACAAAAAAACACGTCTTGGGTGTAAGAGAGAGGTAGATCTCCTTGTATGCGTGAGTGGGGGGGGGGGGTTGGCATCTATCTTTGGTGTTCACCTGCCACCTAGCTCTCGACTGTGGATCGGCGTCTGTGGTGTAGCGCTCTGGCCCTTCACAGCCACACACATGAGACATGAGTTCGATTCTCGAGCGGAGAGAACATTTATAATATGGAGTATCTCGGTCTTTCTGATGGGATGTTGTATCCCTTTCAGCCCGAGTTAATCCTAACAGGAAGGGTCTGTATCCCGCCTTTGATCCTAAATGATCTAAACTGTCGATGGAGGGGGAAAAATTCCCTTAGAATAAAAACCCACATTTTTGTCCACCTGTAGCTCATTGAAGCCGTTTGCAAATGTACATAAGAAGAGAGTTATATCGTTAAAAAATTTGGATGAAATTGGCACCACCTGCAAATTCCAAGTTTGCTCAAACGTACACTTAGAATAAAACTCCACATTTTCGTTCACCTGTACCTTATAGAAACTGTCTACAAATTATGACAATGTACATTAGGAGAGATTTATACAGTGCAAAAATTCGGATGAAATTGGCACCACCAACCAAAATCAAGTTTGTTCAAAGGTACATGAAAGGAAACTCAGTGAAACCATATGAAAAGTAATTTTTTTTCACACGCACATATATTAATTTAAATTAATCAAAACAGAAATTCGCTCTTGGCTTGACATCTGTAATAGATAACATTTTTACTGACACCTCTTCAGATCCCTCTAAAGTTGATAAACTAAGTAACAATTCTTTTTTGCGCTACGTTATGTGCCTTATTTCTTTTTAGCTGCATGTCACAGGAATTCCATCTCGTTCCAGGAAACGGAATCTGCCGCAAGATTGGGCTATGTTCGAGACTTCCCATCGCGTGCTGTCTATGATGTCGAGAAGACGAATTAAAAAGAGCGTTGAAAGGGCCAAGGAACTACGACGTAATTTATTGCCGCGACCTGGGTTTGGACAATGTTTTTGATTTTTGCGGGTGAGGAAGGCGGCTGATGTGTACGTGGGGGAGGGGTGATGGAGGGTGGGGGGTCGGTGTAAAAGGTTAAAGAGGTGTAGTGAGAGGTCTAGGTACATTTTAATAGGTGCAAAACCAGCTTTGTTGGTTTGGTAACTTTTTTTGTTTGGTCCTTTATTTGCTTAATGTATTGAGTGTGCGTATATTATGTGTCTGTGTGTGAGGGACACAAAGAAAGAGGAACAGGCACACAGAATGAGACAGAAATACATACCGAAAGAGACGAAAAGCGTGTATTACTGTGGATGCGTCTGTGTATGTGTGTGTGTGTGTGTGTGTGTGTGTGTGTGTGTGTGTGTGTGTCAGTGTTTCTCTCTCTCTCTCTCTCTCTCTCTCTCTCT